GCTATTGAAGTGTTAGTAGGGGTTGAGCTTGGTTATTATCTACATGATCCAAAGAGCAAGAGAGGAGTTATGGGCTGTTATTTAGTAATTAATTACAGTTGAGGTGGAGGTCGGGTAGTGTGTGGCCTAGAGCAGGAGGTCTTTGAACGGGTAGAAGAGGATCTTAGCACAATGAAAGGTGACGAGCTGGATCAATTCAAACAGGCGTAGGGAGTCTCGGCTGAGAGGAGGCCAGGTTTAGCTAGGTCGAAGCAGGCTATCAATAGAACCTGGGAAGTGGGAAGTTGACAAAGAGGGTAGGATGGGTTGAGGATCGTGTAGAGCTAGAGTTTTGGATCGGTGTAGTGAAGATACACGAGCTAGTGGAGTTTAGATTGAATCGTTGAATGGGTTTATGGTAGGCGCACGACTGAGAGAAAGAGTTACGACTGACATGCTTTGTGGCTCGTTGGGGCCTTTAATTGCTAGATTCAACGAGATCTGAGATTTATTCTGAGTCGGGGAACTAATTCGATGGGCACGGGTAACGGGCTCGATCGGGGTGGGGATCAGGCACTTGAGGTCGTTCAGTGCAAGGAATAGACATTGATGGAGCTTCAATCCAGCAAGGGGATTTAGTGGGTATTGATAGTTCATAAAGGTTTTTAGGCCTTATAGAATTGTCCCAAGGCTAATCAAGAGGGGAGTGAATTGGTTATAAAAAATTATTGGATTTTTAAAAACATTTTTAGATCTTTTAGAAAATTAAAGAACTAATCTTGAAGTAAGCAGTTGTTTATAAAAAATGATTATCACAGAGGATTTTTCAACCACTAAATTTTAAATATGGAAATAAAAATGTGAAAAAAATAGAGATAATAGAAGAACACTAAATTTTATAGTGGTTCGGTCCAACTGGAGCTACATCCACTCAATGGAAACTCCTTCTCCAGATATTACACTAAATAATATGACTCTCCTTTTACCCCAATAGCAAGACGGAGAAGCCATTACAAACTCTATTCCACAAACCCTGTGCAACAGAGAATCATCGCCTTTTACACTTTCCAAGTGATGGCAGCGTACCATCATGTCCTTTTTCACTCTCCTGGTGAAGGCAGAGAACCGTCACCTTTTACACTCTCCAAGTGATAGCAGTGTACCTTCACATCCATTTTCACCCTCCTGGTGAAGGCATAGAACCTTGATTCAATCATGAAGATATTCTCTTAAGAGCCTCTAAAGAAGTTGTGTAGAAATTTAAAGAAGACAAAGAGATCCTCATTTTGGACAACCTTGTGAATCCCTCACAACTTCCCTTCACTAAATCTCTCACTCTTAACTCACAAAATTTCTCCCAAACACTCTTTCAATGGCCCCTCTCAAGAGAAATTCAAAGCAAAGGATTCCTTAGACAACTTTTAGGAGAACTGTCCTATATTTGTATTGTACGATCGTAGATTGTCTGGTACGAACAGTTTAAAAAATCAAGGCTTCATTTTTGGGGAGCTAGGCCTTCCCACTATACTTACAAAAATTGTGTATGGTAGGTGTAGGGCAGCACCGCACCCGGGTTTTCAATTCCACCATGCTACAAAAAGCACGTACAGGTCTTCAAGGTTGTTGCGTGAAGAATTTACAGCTTTTACATATAGGCATTGAAGTACGTGTATGAGTAGTCAGGGTTATCCCAATCACACAATGAAAAACATGTACAAGACCTACCCACTTTGCCACAAGTGTTGCACCAGAGTACTCCCTCCCACCACTCTAAGAAAAGCATTTATAGGTGGTCTTATGGTGTGCTACAAACACCGATAATGAGATATTAGATGTTTTAAGTTAGAGGGCTCATTATACCTTACACGATGGGAGCAACAAAGGTGTCGGTGTTAAGGGCATGAGGATCAAGGCATAAAAGCACAAATATTTCTTTTTTTTTTTCTTTCTTTTTCTCTCTTTCTTTTCTCTCTTTTTTAATCTTTCTCTTTTCTTTTAATAATAATAATAGAGGGGATTAGGGGGCTGTTGAAGTGTTAGTAGGGGTTGAGCTGGCTGTTATTTAGTAATTAATTACAGTTGAGCTGGAGGTCGGGTAGTGTGTGGTCTGGAGCAGGAGGTCTTTGAACGGGTAGAAGAGGATCTTAGCACAATGAAAGGTGACGAGCTGGGTCGATTCAAACAGGCGTAGGGAGTCTCGGCTGAGAGGCAGGCAGGTTTAGTTAGGTCGAAGCAGGCTATCAATAGAACCTGGGAAGTGGGAAGTTGACAAAGAGGGTAGGATGGGTTGAGGATCGGGTAGAGCTAGAGTTTTGGATCGGTGTAGTGAAGATACACGAGCTGGTGGAGTTCAGATTGAATCATTGAATGGGTTTGTGGTAGTCGCACAATTGAGAGGAGTTACGACTAACATGATTTGTGGCTCGTTTAGGGCTTCAATTGCTATATTCAATGGGATTTGAGATTTCTTCTGAGTCAGGGGGCTAATTCGATAGGCATGGGTGACGGGTTGGATCGGAGGGTTCCAATCGGGGCGGGATCAGGCACTTGAGGTTGTTCGGTGCAAGGAATAGACATGGATGGAGCTTCAATCCAGCAAGGGGATTTAGTGGGTCTTGATAGTTCGTGAAGGTTTTTAGGCCTTATAGAATTGTCCCAAGGCTAACCAAGAGGGGGTGAATTGGTTATAAAAAAAATTCTTGGATTTTTGAAAACATTTTTAGATCTTTTAGAAAATTAAAGAACTAATCTTGAAGTAAGCATTGTTTATAAAAAATGATTATCACAGAGGATTTTTCAACAACTAAATTTTAATTATAGAAAATAAAAATGTGAGAAAAATTAGAGACAATAGAAGAACACTAAATTTTATAGTGGTTCGGTCCAACTGGAGCTACATCCACTCACTGGAAACTCCTTCTCCAGGTATTACACTAAATAATATGACTCTCCTTTTACCCCAATAGCAAGACGGAGAAGCCTTTACAAACTCTCTTCCACAAACCCTGTGCAACAGAGAACCATCGCCTTTTACATTTTCCAAGTGATGGCAGCATACCATCATGTCCTTTTTCACTCTCCTGGTGAAGGCAGAGAGCCGTCACCTTTTACATTCTCCAAGTGATAGCAGTGTACCTTCACATCCTTTTTCACCCTCCTGGTGAAGGCAGAGAACCTTGATTCAATCATGAAGATCTTCTCTTAAGAGCCTCTAAAGAAGTTGTGTATAAACTTAAAGAAGACAAAGAGATCCTCATTTTGGACAACCTTGTGAATCCCTCACAACTTTCCTTCACTAAATCTCTCACTCTTAACTCACAAAGTTTCTCCCAAACACACTTTCAATGGCCCCTCTCAAGAGAAATTCAAAGAAAAGGACTTAGACAACTTTTAGGAGAACTGTCCTATATTCGTATTGTACGATCGTAGATTGTCTGGTACGAACAGTTTAAAAAATCAATGCTTCATTTGGTACAAACTTGGACGAACATGATTTTATACTGGCAGTCGTATGTACGAATGCAAATCGTATTGTACCAATTGTTCAAAAATAAATGCGTTCGTTTGGTATAATATAAAACGAACCTAATTTTGTACTATGTTAGTCATCTATATGACTTGAGACTGTACTGTATAAACAGTTCAAAAAAATTAAAATGTTCGTTTGATATGATTTGGGACGTACATAATTTTGTACTATGTTAGTTATATGTAAGAATTAAGATCGTATAATATGAACAATTAAAAAATTCAAGCCATGATTTGATTAACTGCATTCTGGAGGAAAATTATGTCAAATCGTACAGTACGACTAGATATCGTACAATATGATTAGTAAAAAGCTCATAAAACTAGTTTAATTACATATTTAACATGTATCTTTTTCTAATTACTAATTTCTTTCTTGCCAGCGACCCTATTTTCCCAAATCCTCAATGATGAAGAAATAGAGGAAATCATGACTAACTGATTGCACGAGTGTCAATAAAGGCTTCGATCTACCAATTCAATTTGGATTAGACTTAAAAATTCCATGTTCGAGTTAACCCATTTAATAAACAGGTTAGGCTCAGATTTGGGTTTTGCATTCTGACCTATTTTATTAAATGGATCGGGTTTGAGTTGACCCACCAATCTGATTTTGGTATGAAAAACCCGTATAATATTTTTTCCTTAAATTCTTTTATTTGTTGATATAATATTCTTATTTTTTATTAATTAACCTAAACCTATGGTTAACAAATCAATAATTTTTTTAATTAAAATAAGTTATGGGGCTAGGTTTGAATTATTACCAGGCCGAATTTAAGTTCATCTTTTTTATCCTATATATTAAATGTGCATGATTCAAATTAATCATATTCATGTCAGATCCGAACCCAACACGTTGATCCATTTTGATGCCCTAGCTAATAGAATGACCCAAACTATTCAACGACTGAACGTCCAGAAAAAAAAAGTAAAAAAAAAATGATAAAATTATAAGAAGAGAATGTGAGGAATTAAGTCTTAAAAAAATCAGGAGTATACCAATAAAATTGACAACCTATGTATTGAAATGGGATCTTCATAGGAGGGGGGTTGTCTTGGTGTGAATTGATGATAATATTTTTTTTAAACATTTAGATTCATTAAAATAAATTCATACATATATCAAGAGGAGAGTGGAGCAGTTGACTACAATATTATGTTTGGGTAAAAAAAAAAAAAATTATGTTTATCTTAGAAAGTTTTTTTTTTTTTTTTTTTTTTTTTTTTTTTTTTTTTTTTTTTGGGACATTTAGGCCATTTAAGGCAAACACACACACACAACGCATACACATGGACTCGAACCTTGGACCTCTTAGTTAGAAGCCTAAGCTCTCAACCAATAGGTCAAGGAGAGTTGTGTAATTATGTTTATCTTAGAAAGTTTTTTTTTTTGGAAATTTATCTTAGAAAGGTATTGTTATGTGAATAGATAGATTAGATATAAAAATTGAAAGTAGCGGATGTCCTCGCCATTTATGGAATCCTCCATATTCTTTTGATATATAAAAGTACAAAGGTATCCAGCCTCCGATCAGTCCGGTTCCTGTGAACGATGATCTCTCCCTCCTACCTCCTCTCGCTTTCGAGGCCTAGTGCTTTGCCCAGCAATCTTACTTTACTCTCTGGGGGTGAGAAGAGATCGAGGATATGTTTTTATAAAGCTGGGAGATTGAAATCCTCAAGATTCAGGCCTACATGTTGTTCTTCGGGCAGAAACTCCCTGTCTTTTGATGAGAACTCATCCAGGTTCATTAGCTCGTCTTATTTTGTAGTTTGCGCTAGCTAGGGTTTTAACAATATTACGACTTTCGGGAGCTTGGCATATGCATATCAGTAAAAAGAGGATTTCAGACTTACTATTGTTCATTAATTATGTTGAGTTTTTTTCTTCAGAGCTGGCAAAATTATATTTCCCGTCTAAATCATACGGGATTTCAGTACTCTAATTGAAAGTGGAAAGAAATTCTATCAGAATAACTCGATATATTTTGAATCACATATAGGATGAAATAATCCTCTCTCTCGTGATTTTATGCTGTTTTGTTGATTCTCATATATTTTCTATCATGATTATAATTATGATTTTATAATAATATTATCCTACCTTCTAATAATTTAGTTGTATTTATCTTCTGCCCAATCGACATAGAAAGTTTCTTTCAGAAATTTCATATAGTCCTATAAATATAAAAGAAAAAATTATTTCAGAGATTATATATCATGTTCTTTTTATCATGATTGTGATTGTAAATGCCTAACAGTTTAATTTTATCGTCTAAAAGATTAGTTGTATTTTATTTTTAAATTTTAATTATATTATAGAATAATTTGGTTGTATTGAGAATTAAGAAACGTGACATATAAAATGTGTGATATGTGTAGTAAAATTAAATACATTTTGATACAAAATGTATCAGAATATCTCAATAATTTTTTTTCCTTAAAATAGTGGTATGGATTATGATTATATAGGCTTGTATAGATTAGATAAGCTTAAATTTTCTCTAGTATGTTGAAGTGGTTGAAATCTGATTTTAGAAAATTCCAAACAATGTATTTCCTTTTATATTTACTAGTAGAGCAATTTACTTTTGGTCAGCTTTTGCATTATAGAAGGGCCAGAGACTGTTGAGGACTTTGTTCAGATGCAGCTACAAGAAATTGATGACAACATAAGAAGTCGGCGCAATAAAATTTTCCTTCTCATGGAAGAGGTTATATGAAAATTCACTTCTGCTCACTATGTTCATTAATTTCATGATATTGTTAGATTAAACGGCTATTTTATCTCCTTTCATTAAATTTCTTCCTATTTAGCTTTAAAATTTTCATCCATGATCTTGTGTAATTTCTTTTTATAACATTTCATTTTTTATTTTTAATGCTTGTGAATAGGATAACATCTAGATATCTCAATTCCCACTAATTTTATTATTTTGCTTCTATTTACCTAGGTGAGGAGATTGCGCATACAACAACGAATAAGAAGTGCAAAGTTCAATAATGAGAGCAGTGATGAGAATGAGATGCCTGACATGCCATCGACCATTCCATTTCTTGCTAATATGGCAAATTTCCAAGCAACTTTGTTCCATTAAAGTTTAAGCATTTATTTGTCTTAATACTTATTGTTTTGTTGTATAGACGCCAAAGACTATGAAGCAGTTACATTTGACATCTTTCCTCATGGTATCGGGCATAATAATGTTTGGAGGTCTTCTTGCACCCATTGTAAGTTGTTCTATTCATTTTTGTATTTTTAGCACTTCATATTCTGAACACCGACACTCGTTTATCTTTTTTTGTTTCTATTGTTCCTTTTTTGTGACTCTAATGAGTAATATTCTTGAGACTATTCATCGTGCTATGGGGTTTTTATGACTAATGCATATATATATTTCTGTTGGACAGAAGAAAGTCTAGTCCGTCTAATTTGATTGTCTACACAAAGTAAGTTGGAAATGGCTGAAGCAAGATTTACTTGGAAATTGTTGTACCAAATTTTAGTTTCTTGTTGAAATTCTTTTTATGTTATTTTCCTTGGGATCAAGATGGCTGAAAGGATTGGTTGCACTAAACAAGATCTATAGTTTCCACTTCAAAATTATTAGGATTAACAATTTGCAACTTCATGTTTAAATCACCATACAGTAGTTATGGATTTTTGACTTTTAGGTCCTTACGATTTTTTGAAGCATACAATTGAGCTTTCTACCATTAATACCTTACCTGGTTAGCCTGTTATTCATGTCAACTCACACGGACTTAGTAGCATGGCATGGGTAGGAACTGCTTGGTCCAATAGACCAACAAAACCCCATTGCCTTCAGGTCATGCTTGGGAAAGAATAACTCCATTTGTCCTCGGTTGACTGCGACAGTGTAGCGGTCTGGCATAAGCCCCAAGTTTTCTTACAGGTTGGTTCATACTTGAGATAAGCATTGAATTCATCCAACCTGATTCAAGCCTACACAAAGCCAGTTCATACCAAACCCAATATCATTTCTGTGCCCCATGCATGATTTGCTACCAAAATCTAGATGATTTAACCTCTAAAAATTTCAAAATATCTAGATTGCATTTGGATGCACGAAAAACTTATAATAATTGCTGTCATAGAAGTTTCTTACCGATAACATCAACATTAAATTGCAAGCACCAAGCTTAGTTGTTAGCTAAAATCTCTTAAAAATGCTATTTGAACCTCAAAGAACTACAAATAATTATCTAAGTCATTGCCATGTCACCAACATCGGCCTGATGAACTGAAAGTTGTGCTTAGTGTGGACCTAGCTTAATTACTTCCAGTTTTTTGACCAAGGTGTGCTGAACTTTTGAGCTTGGAATTGTCAAGCCAATCATGTTGCACGGCTCAGTTTACTTATAATGTACCGCAGGAATAGCCTGCACCTTAATTGCCTTATAAAAACTCTTGTAAATCTCTCAAAATGAATGTATGCACATTTTACTTTTCCTCTGTTTCTTCCTGCTGCACGTCCAAGACAGGAAAGTTTACATGGTATCAGAGCACAGATAAGTTCTCTTTCCCCGGTGTTCTTCTTTCTTTTCCCATTTCATACACTTTCTTTCGTCTACCTTTCTCCTTCCTTATTCTGTTCTTTTCCACAATGGCCGAGTCACCCACCTCCTCAACCACCATAACACAACCACAGCCGCCCATAACCATCCCTCCTCAATTAAAATTCGTTCTTAGCAACATCAAGAATCTTGTCGCCAACCCACTCACCTCCGACAACTATCCGTTTTGGCGCTCTCAAGTCGAGAAAATCTTTGCGGCAAATGGCTTCCAAGGATTTCTTGATGGATCTTCCCAAAAACCTCCGCAAGAATCCACTTATACGTCTTCCTACGCAGCCTGGCAACTTCTTGATCAAAACCTTGCCGCCGCCCTCTTCTCCATCATCACCCCATCTATTTTACCTTATGTTCTCTCGCTAACTCACTGTGCGGACATCTGGACTACTCTAACCCATCGCCTACAAGCCTCAAATCGCTCCCGCATCATTCAGCTAAAGAACGAACTTCACAATCTTACAAAAGGTGATCAATCCATGTCTCAATATCTCCTCACCATTAAATCTAAAGTGGACGCAATCTCAGCCACCGGCAGCGTTCTTGACCCCGAAGACGTCATTCTTTATACCTTGAATGGTCTACCTGCAACCTATCAAGCTTTTAAAATCGCAATCCGCACCAACCTCCAACCTATCACTCTCGACGACCTATACACACTTCTTTGTAGTGAAGAAGTCAATCTCGCCCAAGAAGCATCCAAATCAATGCAGCAGCTGCAGCTTACAGACAATCCAACTGCTCTTGCAGCCGCCCGCGGACGAGGGCGAGGTCGCAACTATTACTCCCGCGGTGGTCGTCAGCCAAATCGAAACTCGCACAACAACAGTCCCAATAACTCCTCCAGTCGATCTGAAAGGCAATCGAATCGCAACATCGTTTGCCAAATATGCGCGAAACAAGGACATTCGGCGGCAAAATGCTGGTATCGCCACGATACCACACATCAAGATTCAAACTCCCGCCCTGCCCTGTTCAGCCCAACGGAAGTTTCGCGTCAATCAGAATGGTTCTTGGACAGTGGCGCCTCCACACACTTAACTTCCGATGCCTCACAATTCTCTACCACAGAACCCTATCGCGGCAACTCACAGGTCACTCTCGGAAATGGACACAATCTCTCCATTCGAAACACGGGAACCGGTATCCTCCCTACCCCATCAGGTAGTCTCCAACTTAACAAACTGCATCACGTTCCAAACTTATCGTTTAATCTTCTCTCTGTTTATCAATTAACTCACGATAATTCCTGCATTGTTTCCTTCTCCTCACGCGGTTATGTGATTCAGGATTCGACGACCAAACGGGTTCTTCTACAGGGACCCTGCCATAACGGTCTCTACTCCATCTCGACATCCACCTCGCCCGCCAATCTTGCACTTCTCTCCGTCCAAACGGTTCCCGATCTTTGGCATGGCCGTCTCGGTCACCCGGACACGTGCAAACTTCAACGGCTTGCCCAGCTGCATTCAAACATTAGCTCTACAATTACCTCTAAATACTGTAACACGTGTAATCTTGCAAAAAGTCATAGGTTACCATATCCAAATTCTTCTTCATTTACTTCTACTTCATTTGAAATTGTCCATTCTGATGTTTGGGGTCCTTCCCCCACTATTTCTTTAAATGGATTTCGCTATTTCGTTACTTTCATTGATGAGCATACAAAATACTGCTGGGTTTATCCGCTTTCCCTTAAATCTGATGCCTTCTTTAAATTCCAAGAATTCTATAACATGGTTAGATGCCATTTTAATAAAAATATTAAAACTCTCAGAACCGACGGGGGCGGAGAGTACATTAATAAATCTTTCGCGCAATTTTGCAAAACATCCGGAATGAGACATCAATACACATGCCCACACACGCCCTCCCAAAACGGTCTCGCCGAAAGGAAAAACCGACACATTTTAGAGACTGTTCGGAGTTTGTTAATTCACTCCAATGCTCCTCACTCCTTATGGACTCACGCTTTACACACAGCAATACACATTATCAATCGCTTACCTACTCGGAAATTGAAAAACAAAACTCCTCTCGAATCCCTCTACAACACACAACCCTCATACAACCATCTCAAAATATTCGGATGCTTATGTTACCCGTGGCTAAGGCCCTACGCCAAATCTAAACTGGATTCCTTCTCCAAGCCGTGCGTTTTCATTGGATATCCTCCTACTCAAAAAGGCTACCTCTGTCTGGACCCCGACACAAATCAAATTTATACCTCCCGCCACGTCGTCTTCAACGAGCAAATCTTCCCTTATCACCGAATCCAGTCAACCGTCCCAACCTCAAATTCTCTGTCCAACATCCCGCCTTTGCTCTTAGTCCCCTCCTCTCTTCTACCACATCACGTCCAGCAGCAGCAACCAGCTCACACCCCTGCTCCTATCCGCACATCCCAAGCCTCTAACAATTCACACACAAATCCCACTACATCAAACCTCACGGAATTGCAAACCATCGGTTATCCTAGACCTGCACCATTACCCATTCCCTCCAACTCTACCGCACCCACCAATGCTACTCACCACATGCTAACCCGATCCAAAACTGGACATCTTAAACTCAAACAACTCCTTAATCTTATACATCAACATTTCCCCAAGACCCCACCTCTTATACTCAAGCTGCTCAACACGAACATTGGCACTCCGCCATGTCCCAAGAATTTCAAGCGCTACAATCTCAAGGTACTTGGGAGCTGGTTCCATCTTCCCCAACTCAAAACATCCTAGGATGCAAATGGACGTTCCGAACCAAATACAACTCCGACGGCTCTATCGCACGGTACAAGGCCAGATTAGTCGCTCTCGGCTACAAACAAGAGTTCAGAATAGACTACACCGAGACCTTTAGCCCCGTCGCTAAAATTCCCACTTTTCGCATCCTCATCCTTCTCGCCCTACACAAGCACTGGCCCATGCACCAACTCGACATATCCAACGCCTTCTTGCACGGTTCACTTCAAGAAACAGTCTACATGAAACAGCCTCCCGGGTTCACCGACACCAATCATCCAAATCATATTTGCAAACTTAACAAAGCCCTATACAGACTCAAACAATCACCGCGTCAATGGTTCGCCACCTTAACCGGATTCCTCCACACTCAAGGATTCCGCACCAGCAACTCCGATCCTTCGCTCATGATCTTCCAACAATCCAATATCCACATATATTTTCTAATTTATGTTGATGATCTTATAGTCACAGGTAATAACGAGGCAGCCGTGCAAACCCTCCTCGGCAAAATCCACAGTCGCTTCAACACACGGAACCTTGGCAATCTCTCCCAATTTCTCGGTATTACAGCACTTCCAACATCGGACGGTCTATTACTTCATCAAAGTCGGTACGCACAAAGCATTCTACAACGCGCCGGAATGACCAATTGCAAGCCCACCGCAACACCTATAACAGCTAAGTCTCACATCTCTTCTCAGCCATCCAAACTATTTTTTGATCCTTTGCTTTATAGACAATTAGTGGGTTCACTCCAATACCTCACCTTAACCCGTCCTGACATCACCTACGCCGTCAACAAAGCATGCCAATTCATGCATCAACCCACCGATACCAACTTCGACGCTCTCAAACGCATTCTCCGATACATCAAAGGAACTATAAACATTGGTTTACCTTTCTCCGGACACTCATTACCTTAACATCTTTTGTAGATTCGGACTGGGCAGGAGACCAACAAGACCGAAAATCCACTACGGGATACTGCACATTCCTTGGCCGATCCCTCATGACATGGTGCGTCAAGAAGCAAAGCACAATCGCCCGATCCTCCACCGAAGCAGAGTACCGAGCGTTGGCCGCCGCCGCAGCCGACCTCATCTGGATCCGCCAACTTCTTCAAGAACTTGGCTGCCCGCAAAACAATCCTACCAAGCTCTTTTGCGACAACACATCGGCGATCGCACTAGCAAACAATCCTGTCTTCCACGCCCGCACCAAACATATCGAAGTGGACTGCCACTACATCCGGGAATGCATCAAGAACAATTCCATTCAAGTACATCATATTTCAACCAAAGATCAAATAGCAGACATATTCACAAAAGCCCTATCAATTGCTCGATTCCGGCACCTAGCTAACAAACTGATCTCACCGCACACCTCATCAGTTTGCAAGGGGGTGTCAAGCCAATCATGTAGCACGGCTCAATTTACTTATAATGTACCACAGGAATAGCCTGCACCTTAATTGCCTTCTAAAAACTCTTGTAAATCTCTCAAAATGAATGTATGCACATTTTACTTTTCCTCTGTTTCTTCCTGCTGCACGTCCAAGACAGGAAAGTTTACAGGAATCTTCACCTATGCCAGAGCAGGTTAAAGTAAACCATATCCTAGCTTGAGATTGGATTTATAAGTGATGCAAATTTATTCTACTTAACATTAATTAACATATATAGTCTATGGTTTAGTCAATAATAAATTTATAGATAAATGCGGTTGATATTTTGATGTATTTTATCCTTTTGTGACGTAGCTAGGCCTTTGGTAGACTCACATAGTGGACTAATTGACATTTTTATCGGCTGGTTTTGGCCTATACTGGCATCCATGCCTCATCTTTATCTAATCCAACAAAATTATTGATCTGGGTAAGCCCATTGGGCTACCCTTGAGTTAATCAAATCAATTAATCACATATTTTTATTACCGATCCTGAATCATGAATTCCTTTTAGATGCGTCTAGTTATCTTTATCTTTATGATCATCATCACTGCCAATTGCCATTAATCTTTTCTTTTAGTAGTTGACGTTTGCTCACAGATATATCCAATTCCCGTTTTTTCGCTTGTCTCTATTTTTGAAAGAGTTATTTCTAATCAAGATAAAGGAATGCTTCTTTAAACTTATATTTATCGGTGGCAATTCTATTTTTTCTTTTTCACAGCTGGAGCTTAAATTAGGGCTTGGTGGCACTTCCTATGAAGATTTTATACAGAGCATGCATCTTCCTTTGCAATTAAGGTTTTTAATAAGATTATTTCTAATGTTAATGGTTTTCAGTAAACTTGAAGAGCTTGGATTCATTCTCTCTTTTTCAGTCATGAAGGGAAAGAGATACATAATAAAATCACGAACTCGACTCATCAAGGTTGGTGGGTGATGTGCAATTCTCCCTCTCCTAGGGATTTCACTCCAATCTCTCAAGCTCTCATGAGAACTCGAACATAGAGAAGAATTTTTTTTTAATCAAACATTCATTAACATCAAAAGAGAATAATGAGACTATATATCCTCATACAAAGACTCAAGAAAATAAAAGATGACAACGCCCACTAGGCTTACACACGACCTCCCTTAAGGGGTAAAAATGAAAAAAAAAACTAATAACACAATTTCAATATGACATAATAATAAAATAAATAATACAACTCATAAATATAATGACTCAATTGTGGCCGTAGATCGACGACCACGTCTTTGATAGACTTTCCACGCTCTGATGACCACGTCTTTGATAGACTTCCCACACTCTGATGTCCCCATCATTCTCTCGGGGTGGGAGAAAGCTCGCCTCCGTCGAGTAAGTGTCTCTGGTGCTCTCGTAGATCTCCAATGCATCGGGGTCAATCTGCTGCAGCTCCTCGCGATCCAACCATGTATCCTCTAACTCGGGCTTTCCTTTCCACTTGATCAAGTACATCCTTCGTCCCACTTCCCTTGTGGAGAAGATATCATCACTAAGGAGAGTCCACCTTTTCTGACATGGGTGATTTGGGAATATTTGATAGTGGAGGTAGGTTTGGGTTCTCTCACGGTGGGGTCACACAAGGCTGCTGTATGAGTGAATTTGGTGGGTTGAAATCAGGATATTCATATGCAACTAGATCTTCTATGTTAAAGGAGGGATTGATATTGAATTATGAAGGCAGATCTACTACATAAGCATTATCATTAATTTTCTTAATTATTTTGAATGGTCCAGCACTCTTAGCATGCATCTTCTTAACTATTCCCTGCGGGAATCGTTCCGGACGAATCTACACTATCATGGAGTTACCAACCTCAAAAGTTTTAAATTTTCATTTCAAATCCGCATATAGGTTATAATCATTATTGCTATTTTTAATTTGTCATGCAATTTCTTTATGAAGTTCATGCATATGTGATGCAAATGATGATGCAAACTTAGAAATTCTATATCTAGAACACATGGGTATAAGGTCTAGCGGTTGTTTAGGTTTGAACCTGTAAATAATTTCGGAAGGACTTAGGCCCGTGGTTCGATTCACAGAATTATTATAAGCAAACTCAGCAGTAGGGAGAATGAAATCCCAATCCTTAATATGCTCACCAACCAAAGATCGCAACAGATTACCCAAACTTCTATTAACTACCTCGGCCTGACCATCAGTCTGTGGGTGAAAGGCAGTGTAAAATTGCAATTTAGTGCCCATTTTCATCCAAAGGGTTTTCCAAATTTAGCTAGTGAATTTCACATCCCGATCCTATACAATGGTTTTGGGTAAACCATGTAAACGGACGACCTCATTAAAATTGAGCTTGGCTATGTGAGAGGCGTCGGATGTTTTGAAGCAACGTAGATAATGAGCTATTTTGGAGAACCGATCTGCTACAACACAAATGGTGTCGTTCCTACGGATCGTCTTAGGCAGGACTAAGATAAAGTCCATGAAAACATCCCGCAAAGGGAAACTAGTGACAGGCAAAGGAGTGTACAAACCCGTGTTTTGTTTGCGTTGTTTGGCCAGTTGGTAGGTGTGACAGCTATTGACCATTCGACCGACATATCTCTTTAAGCTGGGCCAATCAGTACTCCACAGCTTCAATAGTTTTGTCCCAGTGAAGCCTCCGGCGTGGAGTTCTCAGACAAGAAATTCCCTAAGGGAGGTGCTAGGAATGCAAAGTTTTAGGGCTTTAAAAAGATAATCATCCTCCAAAAGAAAATCATCTACAAGGCACGTGCTGCTTGTGGACAAGAGAGAGTAGGTCTCCTTGAAGTTGGGGCATTCCAAATAGTCCCTCTTTATTTGGTCAAATCCCACGACTTCTGCTCTCATCTCCGTGGTAGTCATCATACGACGACTGAGAGCATCGACAACTTTATTCTGAGGGTATAAGTATACTCCTGAAGGAACTCTACTCAACAACCGTGGTGTGCATTCAACTTCTTTTGGGAGTGCATTCAACTTCTTTTGGGAGTTGATATAACGCAGAGCTTCGTGATTCGAAAAAATGACGAACTCTTGCGGGAGCAAGTAGTGTCGCTAATAGCGAAGAGATTGGATCACAACATAATACTCTTTGTCATACATGGAATAACACTGCCGAATATCATTTATCTTTTCACTGAAATTACCTATTGGGTGACCTTCCTAGGAGAGGACTCCTTCAATTCCTGCCCCCGAAGCGTCACAGGTTAGTTCAAAGACTTTGGAGAAGTCTGGAAGTCTCATCACTGGGGCTTCCACCATCTTTTTCTTAATCTCATCAAAAGCTCTGGTGGCTGCCGGGGTCCAATGGAAATCACCCTTCTTTAGGCAATCAGTGATAGGAGATACGATAATGCTAAAGTTTCGAATGAATCTTTTATAGAAGGTGGCTAATCCGCGAAAACTATGGACTTCCCAGATGTTCGGACAGGCCATTCAACAATGGCCCTCACATTCTCGTGATCTGCAGAGACCCCTTGGGCTGATACGATGAAGCCAAAAAAGATAACACAATCTACAAGGAAGGTACATTTATTAGGATTGGCATAAAGTTGTTCCTTCCTTAAGACCTCACAAACTTGCCTTAAGTAGTCCAAGTGCTGGCTCACCGACTGACTGTAAATAAGAATGTCGTCAAAGTAGACGACGATAAACTTCCCCATGAATGGACGCAACACTTGAGTCATGACCCTCATGAAAGTATTCGGGGCATTACTTTATCCAAAAGGCATGACTAACCACTCGTAGAGACCATCCTTGGTCTTGAAGGCAGTTTTCCACTCATCTCCTAGTCGGATCTGGATCTGGTGGTATCCACTCTTGAGATCAATTTTCGAGAATATTGTGGCACCCATTATCATATCGAGCATATCGTCCAGCCTTGGGATAGGGAATCGATATTTGACGGAGATTTTGTTGATTGCACGACCATCAACACACATTCTCCAAGATCTGTCCTTCTTCGATATAAAAAGGGCCGACATCGCGTAGAGACTAAGACTCTTCTTAATGAAACCTCGCTGCAGTAACTCATCTACCTGCTTCTTAAGTTTAACATGTTCCGTGGAGTTCATGCGATAGTGTGGTAGGGAGGAAGGCTCAAGGGACGAAGTCTATGGCATGTTGAATGTCTCTAAGTGGGGGTAACTGGTCTGGGAGATCATCGGGAAAGACATCAACATACTGTCCCAGAATGGGTTGGACTTCTTGAGGAATAGGTTCGTCAGATTCCGCGAGAATTTTATGACCCATTAAGGCGTATAGAGGTGCGCCTTGAGCGACCTCAACATCCAAAACCTTGGCGGTGACTAGGTTTAGTCCTTTCTTGGACTTAATAGGGTTGGATTTTGAGTCATCCGTAACCCAAGGCTGTGATGGCAAAAGCTTAATCTTTTTTCCTGCATGTTCGAACACGCAGGTGTTTGAACGCCAAAAAATGTGGATATCGTTATCATAGATCCAGGGGCGACCCAAAAGGATTTGTCCAACATTCATAATCAACACATCACACCAATAATTCTCCTTATAGTCAGTAAAGGAGATAGGTACGACTCTTCGTTCTTTAACCTCCAAGGCAGTGGAGCTGACTCACGCTACCTTATACGGGTTGGGGTGTGGAACGACAGAAAGACCCAACTTGGATACCATAATGGAAGATACAACATTTATGCAGCTACCACTATCTACAATGACCTTACAATTCTTATCTTTGATTTTGGTGTAGGTGTGGAAAATCGCAGTTCTATGCCAGTCATCGGTGGGAGTTGGGTGTGATAGCGCACATCTCACCACGTATATGGGAGATGTATCCAATTTCTGAAGGAAATGTAGGACCGTAGTGTCGTCATCCTCTTCGAAGAATTCGCCTTCATCCTCGACCTGGTGGATCTGATCAACCTCAGGCTCAAGATCGTCCTCAGTAATCTCCTCGATGATCGAGACTTTATAGGGACTGGAGCACTGAGAAGCGATATGCCCATACCCCTGACATCAAAAGCACTTGGTCACGGGGCTGGATCGAGGGGTATTTGGGGTTGGAGGTTTATTCCTAAAATAAGATCGAGGTGCAGGGGGACCCGTGGGTGGTCGGGTCTCGCTCCTAGAAGTGGGTCGGGCAGTAGGAGTGTGAGGAGTGGAACTACCGGACGGTCTATAGGGGGGCCTAGAGTCATGTGAATGGCTCGGGTGCTGGGAACGGGTCTCCTCTAAATCAAGTACTAGGCTGTAAGCATTCTCCAGGGTAGTGACATTCCGGGCAAACAGCTCGTTGCGAAGATCCTCTCGCAACCCGATACGAAACATAGACAAGATCTGCACTGGGGTGGTAGAGGTCTCCCCTCTGCAGCGAATCAGGTAATCGTTGAAAGAGGCGATATACTACTTGACTGGGTTGTTGCCCTGGGTCAGCCTATTCCACCTATCCAACAACCTAGGGAAGTACGAGGGAGGTAAGTGCTGCTTAAGTTAGCCCTTCATAGATGGCTAATTAGTGATGGGGTAATCGTTCCTGACTTCTCTAAGGCTCTAAGTTCGCCCAAAACTGGCTCGCTCTACCCTTGAGTTTCATCTCCGCAAAACTAACCTTCCTAGCCTCTGAGATATTATGCCACTTAAAGAAGTTGTCCATACCTTTGACCCAGTCCAGGAAGAGCTGGGGATCGAGAGTGCCATCAAAGGTAGGAGCATCAAATTTAATATTCTTCATTAGTGGTATGTTCGGATCATGCCGGGTAGGTCGACTATGGAAGCCATACATTTATTCAGAGGTTTGATGGAAAAATATAGAGGAAA